CACTCCTGCCCAGCTTGGTGTCATCTGCAAAATTAGTGAGGGATCCCCTCATCCAGATCATTGATAAAGATATTAAACAAGACCGGCCCCAAAACTGAGCCCTGGGGAACACCGCTTGTGACCAGCTGCCAACTGGATTTAACTCCAGTCACCACAGCTCTCTGGGCTCGGCAGTCCAGCCAGTTCTTTACCCAGCGAAGAGAATTCTGACTCTTTGGATGAAAAAGGCAATCTCAGCCTTTTTTTTCCCTTTGGAGTCTTGTTGATATGTGTATGTACTAAATGTTTTTGAGAGTCACAGAATTATGGGAGGGAAAATATGAAGAAGTTACCTTCCCATTCTCCTCTCTCAAGGCAGAATCTGTGTTCCAAGACAGAATTTCTCTGTTCTCTACATCTGACCTAAATTTCTTATTAATCAAACATAAATTTTGACAGTATTTGCTGCATCAGAATATATCTTATTAGAATGTCTTCTCTTTTTTGAATACCGGCATGTTAGTCAAAAGCATGTGATTGCACTCCAAGACATAGTTTAACCAGTGCACCAGGCATCTCTAGCCAGCTTAGGGATCTTGGGTGCAAAACCCACTTGAATTATTTATTGTTACCAGGTCAACTCAGAAGAACAAAAACAGTGATGACCTGAGTCACATAGGCTGCAAACAGCCCACAGATATCGAGCATCCCTCATGCTGGTGATTAGTCACCTGGACTGGGCATCCTGGCACAGTCACAGGACAGGACCAGGATACACAGGCAAAGCTTACCTTGGCCACCAGGGTACATACAGCGAAAGGCTCTTCCCAGCTCTTCTGCCTGGACTCTTCCTGCTGGTGTCAGCTCTCCACCCCACTTAAGCACCAGGAGAAGGGATGGGGAAGACTCCCGGCGAGCTTCTAGGAGACAAAGAGGTGCTCACTACATCAGATCTCAAAGCTGAGCTTGCAGAAGGAAAGGAGGGGAGGAAGAAGAGATGGTCACCAGCACCTTGCAGAGCATTCTCAACACCAGCCTGACCCAAAATCCCCAGGAACCAAACCAGCAAGTATGAAATTAAGAGTCACTACCTTTTGAAGGTATAGGCTGACATTCATGAAATTGAAAGCATAAGCCCTGTGGCACCATCCAGTGTATATCGATACACTACCTTATGCATCACTCCAACCCTTCGTATGATGTGAGCAAAGATAAGATACGGGTCACTAATTTTGCTTGCACATCCAGAGGCCCATATAGGTAGGACAGCTGCATGCACTCTTGAACATCAAGCTTGAAGAGTATGGCAGCAACATCAGGTTTTTTTACCTTCATCTTCACTTGCAGCTTTTGGATGTCCATGAGGCAGATAGGTCAACTGAACCTTACGGTTAATGCCGGAAAAATGCCCATACCTGTCACAAGGAGAGAGGGGAGGAAAATCTAAACAAATCAACTGCACTCACCCTTTGCCCAAAGGTCCCTAGGCAGCACACATGCAAAAATACAGCACAGGCAAGAGACTACCTGCTGCAACACCAATTCCCACAGAACATGAATATTTTTGCTATCTACCTGTGACCCGGCACATACCCCTCAAAAAAGCCAAACAACTCTCCCAAATGAAATTCAAAGACCCATTTACCTGCCTGCTCTTCAGCTGACAGCACTCTGTGCTTTCACACCCCACCAGAGCTTTAATCAACTTTAGTTAGATGAATTAATGAGATCACAGAAAAAAAAGCACAGGACTCCAGTTCCTCTCCCGCAGCAAAGGGAGCTCAGTTTTGTCTCAAGTGGTTTAGCCAAAAACCAGACATACTTGGAACAAGAATCAGCACTGGTTTTGATGCCAAGCAGAAAACATTAAGAGCGTGACACCTTTCATGTACAGCTGCTAACAGAGGGTAGAGGATACTCTGACCTCTGAGGAGCCAGCTGGCCAAGACATCATCAGCACAGCTTCTTTCTACATTGCATGCTGACCTGCAGCTCTGAGACAAACTCACATTACCTCCCGAGATATAAACCCTTACATCTCCAAGACGCTCTATTGGATTTCCTCTCCTCAATCTCACAATCACTGTGGGTTCCCAGGTCCACCACAAGCTGCCGTGCAATGTCCAGCACTTCCTGTCAGAGAGCAAACAGTCTCAAGGATCCAGCAATTCTGCCTCAGACTCACCACTGTACTCTTGCAAGGCCTCCAGATGGCTTCACCCAGCATCAGGTCCATATAGACAATCATCAGACACACTTCATTTCTTAAGATACAGCTTAGGCAGGACAAGCTTTCACACTGCAGTTTGCTTCGTCCCCACCCTGTGCTCCAGCCCCATTCAGAACCAAGCAGCCTCCGGCTGCCCCAGTATCTAGCCTGGACCCATCTTTCACCAGAGGCAACCACTACAGATGGGCAAGTTGCATCAGGTCATCCCTATCCTACAGTCTCCGCATGAGCCAGGAACAGTTTCCATTCCACTCTCATACTATCACCCAGCTGAGTATGCATGGGGTGAGGAATGAGAAAGCAAGCATTTGTGCAACAGTCTGTTGCCCCTTTGAGGGTTTCCACCCTCACAAAGAATTGCCTCACACTGGGATCCACACGTTTCACACAGTAACCCCAGAGAGGACTCCCCTCACCTGTAGCTGCTCTGGTTTCTTCAGCTTCAACTTCCCTGTCTTGTAGCCATCATATTTCTCAAATAATTCAAAGAACCTGAACAGACAACAAAGAATCCTGATCCATCATCTGCTGTTTCAGTGCTACAAGGACTGTCATCCTTACATATGCATTCACACTCTGCTCTTCAGGGAAAACAAGAAGGCCTACTGGCTCCTTCCTATGCTTCAGAAATTCTGAAAAAAACCCAAGTGTCTCCAGCCGCAGATACAAAAAGGAAGCAGCCACTAGCTTCCCATTTAGTGGGGCACTTCCCTTTGCAGCACCTAGCAGACCTTCACTCTTTCTTCCAGTGGTCACACAGGAGGTGCCAGGATCATTATGGGGAAAGGGGGATCCCTCAACTGGGCAGAAAGCATTTGCTTGAATGGAGCCAGGAAAAAGCACTGCCTCCCATGCACTCAGCCCTTCTGCTCCTCCTCTTCATTCAGAAAACAGGCCCTCCTCACTTCCCAGCAGCACAGCATCTTCTTGCCTTGACGCTTACCGGGGATGCTTAACTTCCATCTTCATCTTCTGCTTTGGGGTGCGATCTCCATGACGAATGACTGCAATAACACAACGAAGCTCCATCCTGGGGAAACACAAGATACACCTGACAAATGTGCCCCTACACTCCAGAATTGCCACCTGAAAGTAGTTTCACGTTGTTCTTTCAGTTCCATCCTTTTCACAGCTGCTTTCCTCAACAGTGGCAGAACTTCCCCCAGACTAAACCAGGCACAAGTGCCAAGGCTGTAAAAGCAGTCAAAGTACTTCAGACACTACCAGGTCATCTGGTTTCCTATCAGGGCAAAGCACCATAGTACAATAACATGACAGGCAGAACCACATCTGCAGCAGAAAGGACCAGGCTGGATGTTACAGAATCTACAGAAACAACATTTTGAATTATGCCAAGCTTGTTTTCATGCCCAACTTGTGTAATGCTCATAGGACCACTTCAAAAGATGCAGGAAAAGACAACTTGGTTCAGAAGAATGGTTATACAGCTGTGGTCCTGTCTTCGAGCAACTAATAAGAGCTGTATACAGAAAGATCCCATAGCAATTAGCCACCTGGAGGAACCAGTAGTTAGGCTGGCTAATTTCAGAAGCGCTACATGAGTTTGCTTTTTCAGATAATACAATATCCAACTATTTCTTATAGAATCCCAGAGAAGCGGGGATCGATTCTATCAGTCTCACTGTCACAAGGTGTCATTGAAGCCAGCAGTCCTGTGAGCTGTGCAGTTTTTGTGTTTGCCAACTTTTTCCAAATGATCACACAGTAAAGGAAGAATCAATACATACTCTCAATCTACCTTTTATCTAGCACTTACTTTGTTCTCTTCATACAAGCGTACAAGTGTGATGACAATCACAAAGAAACTTTTGCCTTTGGTCTTTTAGCCTTATGTGGTGGAAAACTAGTAAGGCCAACTATCAAATGAGGGTCTGCCAAGTGTACAGGTAATGTGAATGCTTCAACTAAATGTTTTCCACGCATTTCACTGGCAGCAAAACATTTTCTCTGAGTAGCAGCCAACTGAACAGTGAGCCAGCTCCAGCAATGCCCTAATCTGTTTCCTGCACTGATCAATAATTTGGGCCTTCTGAAAGCCATGTAAGCAGTTTTTTTAATTCCTTCAATGACTGCTTGTCTGCATTCATCAAACCTATGACTAATTTACCATCTATCACCCCTTTTGTGTGCCTGGCTAACCCTTTCCCCAGGTATTTCAAAGTTACAACCAACACAGCAGCTGGAGAATGCCATGCTGCTGGATGATGTCTGTCCCTTGGACAGGGTTTGCACATTGTCCCTCCATGTAGCCATCACCGGCACTCCTTTGAGAAGATGGCAGGTACTCACATAGTGCCTGAAGTTGTGGGAACAATGGGAATGTCTTCTGCCTCTGTTGGGATGGACCACGGAATATGAAACTGCGGAGCCAATTCCCGCATGATTATATTTCTGGAAGAAATTAGAATACAAAACTCACAAGAAATTCCATTCTCTTGGTACTCCACCTCCTCCTTAGTGGTCCAGCTGAAATATTTGGAGAGACACAGAATTTCTCCTCACCTTCTTCACAGAAACATCTATCACACCATGGGCTAGTTAGGGCACCCCAAAGGGACACGATTTCCCTGACATCAACAATATTGCAGCTGGGCTTAGCATCCAAGGAAAAGTCCTGTAAGATACATCTACCTGTAGACAAAGACAGCTAATGCCAACGGAGACAGGAGCTCCAGGGGCTAAAAAGAATTAACGTATTCCTCCCAGAGCCAAGCTTTCACCTGCTGTACAAATGTCCCCATATAAATCACCTGCAGACTTCTCCGACATACTGATCAGGACCCCACATTCATTTTACTTTCCTATGAGTTGCCTTACCCCCTATCAAAACTTGAATTTTACATACCCGAGGATTTTGGCACAGTCATCGTAATACTTCATAGAGTTCTTCACAAAACTGAAGCCGTTCACATCGCAAACAAAAGAGTGGCCATTTGCCCGCAGGAGGTCAAACCCACACACTGTTTGCTGCATGAAGAAGCAGAGGACACAAGACTCAGGCACGCTGTGAAGGAGTACAGCAAGGGGACAGCAGCTGCCCAGCCAAGCAGGGTGCACACACAGACCCAGCCAGCATACACTACCCAGTTCAGCTCCCCTGGTACTGCAGCTGTCCTTCACGCTACACCTACCTCATGAGCCTTGAAGAAGTGTGAAAATACAGCCACTAGCCAGCAGTAACAGGCCCTTTAGAGGAACCTTTACACCCTCGCAGCTGTATCAAAGGCCCAATGAACAAGCCTCTGGATTAAGCTGTCAGGGTCACTCCCCTCCCTCCCAGAGACAGAGCTGCTCCTGGCTCTCCTGCTCTTGCCTCTAAATCCAACTGTTTTGAACTAGAGTAACTTCAGAAACCAAACTGTTTTGAAGTACAGACAATATGAGGTGCAGGTAAAAACATCCATCACTATGTGGAAAAGGCTACAAGGCAGAACAAGCCCACAGCTGTATCAGCACAACTGCAATTGGTTGCAGATTGCAGCAGGGCCAGGAACAAGTAGCCAAGTGCTTCTTCTGCTGACATTGCTGAACATATCATGTAACCATAGCTAGACTCACACACTCACTCTACCAACCTGTAACATAGCACCAAAATGTGCACCAAAGCGAGATCAAGAATAGAAAAAAAAAAATCAACCCACAGTAGAAAAGAAGACCAAGATTTCCACACAAACACAACCAGGAAACAGTAAAGGTGGGATGAGCACAGGTCAGATGGACAGCAGCATGCTCAGAGTCTGCTATTAAATGCTCAGATGTATGCTGCACACCAGCCACCTGCCTGCACAGAAGGCATTTGCGGCAGGCCCTCCTGCCTTCCCAATCACCTCTGACCAGCAAACTGCCATGGCCAACAGGACCAGCTGCACCCAGCCAGCAGAGATGGCAACTGAAACCAGGTGTGGAAGACTGCCACACCAGAGACACATGGGGTAACAGAGCTCAAGCTTTAACACTGGCTGAGATTTGAATCAGACATTCGTGGAGTAACCTGTTTGCATAGGAGAGAAAACACAGACCTTAAATGCTACACAGACTTTCCGAGCAACAAGTTTCTCCATGGCAGTCAGCATGACTGGGTAACGGATTTCTTTCCCTTCACTGTCCCGTTCAACCTTCCCATCCAAAGCAGGGGATTTGCGAGCCTCTGCATGGGCATAGTCCGGCCCAACAGTGTACACCTGGGAAGAGAAATAGTTACACCTGACATAACCACCTAGACTAACTGCAGCTTCCACAGTATTTCTACTGCAGACACAGAGAGAAGAAGATCAGATGGTGTCATGCATTCCTCCTATTTTGACCTACAGAACACCCTTTGGGATCCAAGCTGCACAGTCAGCACCTCACAGCTTAAACAAACATTCCAGAATCTAAGTAGGACTGCCCAACCTTCAGCTATGCCAGGCCTGGAGAAGGAAGGCACTATTCCAGGCTTTTCCTTACCTTTACATCAGTGCCATCTGTAGGCATGAATTCCTCATAAATGTACGAGCCTGTCTTCCTCACGCTGCTCTCTGGGGAGTACACGCTACTCCGGCTGCCAATCTGAAAGCACAAAATAAACACCTCAAGGAAGAGCACAGGGCTCCTTTTCTTAGATCAAAGAACAAAAAAGCATAAGTTTCATTCCATATGTAGAGAATTAGCAGAACGCCTCTCAGAGCCCCCAGCTTTACAGTACACTTATTTATGGCAGACAAAAGACTCCAGAACACAGACAGTAGGTATGTCCTTTTCTAGGCTTTAAAGAGTTATTAATAAAAAGTTATTATAGACCGTTAGGTTGACTCCAATCACTATAAGGATATCGAACAAGAAACAGTGGACAAAGACCTAGAAAGTAAGGAGCCTAGCTAATAAGCAAATGAAAATAAATGATGACAGGTGATAATCAGACCAATTTAACTTCCTTCTAGGACAGTTGACTGATCTTATGGACAGATTATGATGTTGTTTTCATTTTTAGTAAGGCTTTACATACAATCTCAACTAGCATGCCTGTATGTTAGCTAAGGAAACAATAATTTTAAGATTATTAATGGCAGATGCGTAACTGATTGGAAAAAAGATATATCACAGCTATTAACTGTTAGCTGACAAAGTGGAGGAAGTGAGTAAAGTCAGATTCCCTGTGGAATCTAGGAATAAATACTGCATTTATCACATTTGCAAGGTACACTGCTGAGAAGGGCAACAATGATGTTAGAGGACAAAAACGTAAGTTTAAAAAAACAATCACGTTGATAAGCTGAGAAAGCAATCTGGAAAAAACAGAATGCAATTCAATAAGGGACACAGTCCTCCATGAGTGCTAGACAGGACACAGGTCAGACAGAGGATGGGGAAGGCGAAGTCAGAACTACCACTAAAATACATCTTTCTGCAATTCCCAGGTAGACAGAGTTGAATTCGAAGTTCTAATAAGGTCTAGATTTCCCCAACACAAAACTTTCCTTTCCCCTTCACCTGCCCCAACACTCCCTCTTGAAGCCACATGGGTCTCAGATCTGTTAGTTCCAACACCAAAACTGGAGTACCCCTCCTCACCTTCCGAAAAAGCCGCTGGCTGCCCCCACCTGCTGACGTCGGGTAGTAGATATACACATTATGGTCTTCAGCACTGACTGGCTTCTCTACAAATGGCTTTGGGAAAACAGCTCCATTTACCTCCACATGGTCCTCTCCTTCCACCAAGTTGCACTCTGAAGACAAAGCACAGCACCAGCATGTTAGCAAAAGGGTGAGACAGCCCTAGTGCAGAGCCAAAGCCCTTCAGTCCTGGCCAGTTTTGCTGTCGGGACCTTTGTCTGCAAAAAACACAGACTTGTGAATCAGGCCTCTTCAAGCTGATTATCAGTACCTGTTCTCTGCAGAATATCTTAAATAGTACAGTATGTGAAAATGGTTTCCAGTAGAGCCTGGACACTGACCTTCTGGTCTATCAGGGTCTCGATTGAGCACAGCATAGCGGGGCAAGTCTATTCCCTCTTCTTGAAGGATCCGATACACTTCACGCCTGTAGAGGACAGAAACAGTGTCAGAAGAGTCTAGAAGGTCCTCAGTATATGCCAAGGGAAAGGCTTCACTCCCATTGATGAAGAACAAAGTCAAAAGAACACAAAAAATCCTCAAGTCAGAGCACAAATACTTCTCAGCACATGCCCTCCAAATAAGACCTACAGGCTATGGGGCATGCTTCAGTCCTACTCCAGACAGAGATATCCCAGAGTAAATCTCTACCTGGCCTAAACATGGATGCTCATTTACTAGCACATGCCCAATCCACAGCAACACACCCCTGCACATGCCACCTCCTCAGATGTGCCGTCTGAAGGGTGCCCTGTCACACTAAGCTGCCCAACGCTCAGGCCAGGCAGATGCAGCAGAGCCTCTTTTCAACCTGTGTCAGTGGGGAAACCGCAATTCTTTCACTAGCATTACACCTTGGGGTGCCTGTCAGCACCCACAAGAACACTCCTCACAACCCAAAGACATGGCAGGAAGTTTGGGGTCTTGTGTGAGCCCTTCCCATATACAGCCAAAGCAGCCTGGCTGCATGCACCAAATCACAGAATCATAGTCTTTGGGTTGGAAGGGACCTTTAAATGTCCCCTAGCCCAACCCTCCTGCAATGAGCAGGGACATTTTCAACCAGATCAGGGTGCTTAGAGCCTCATCCAACCTGACCCGGGATGTGTCCAGGGACGGGGCATCTACCACCTCTCTGGGCAACCTGGGCCAGTGTTTCACCACCCTCATTGTGAAAAATTTCTTCCTTATATCCAGTCTAAATCTGTCCTCTTTTAGTTTGAAAATATTACCCCTTGTCCTATTGCTACAGGCCCTGCTAAAAAGTCTGTCCACATCTTTCTTATAAGCCCCCTTTAAGTACAGAAAGGCTGCAATAAGGTCTCCCCCTGGAGCCTTCTCTTCTCCAGGCTGAACAACCCCAACTCTCCCAGCCTGTCCTCATAGCAGAGGTGTTCCATCCCTCTGAGCATTTTTGAGGCCCTCCTCTGGACCTTCTCCAACAGGACTGTGTCTTTCCTGTGCTAAGGGCTCCAGAGCTGGACGCAGTACTCCAGGTGGGGTCTCACCAGAGCAGAGCAGAGGGGCAGAATCCCCTCCCTTGACCTGCTGGCCACGCTACTTTGGGTGCAGCCCAGGATACAGTTGGCCTTCTGGGCTGCGAGCGCACATTGCCGGCTCATGTCCAGTTTTTCATCCACCAGTACCCCCAAGTCCTTCTTGGCAGGGCTGCTCTCAATCCATTCGTCTCTCGGTCTGTACTGATATCGGGCGTTGCCTCAATCCAGGTGCAGGACCCTGCACTTGGCCTTGTTGAACCTCATGAGGTTCACATGGGCCCACTCCTCAAGCTTGTCCAGGTCCCTGAAGTAGATGACTGCTGGTGGCCTCTAGCAAGATCTGACTGAGAAGCTTCCTGAAGTGCCTGATGTACATGCCCTCCTCACAATCTGATCTGGCCTTGCTCCCACTTTCTGTCCCAGAACCCCATCCCACTACTTGGCTCTCCTACTCAGAGACTAGCCTTTTTGTCTTACTTGTGAGAGTCTCATCTGTGAGACCTCTTCACGTCCTACTTCATCTAGCCATTCCTTACAAGATATTTGTACCAGAAAATGAAACATGCCAAGTCTCAATTGTTTTACCCCCACATCTATTCCTCTCCGTGTTTTGGAGAAACAACCTGTAAAAGCCACTGTTAAGGTCCCCTTCCTCCCCATCGCACTCATTTGCTTGTGGCCAGGAAGAAGTTTGCACAGCATGCTGAGGAGAGGAAGTAGCCAAAGGAAGAGAGAAGGGGCTTTAGTGGATCAGAGACACCTACCTGTCCTGGATATAATACTGCATATCGAGGTCATTAATCAGAAATGGCTTGCACAGCTTGGCATAAGCAACCGCTTTATCCAGGGGGAATCCTGAAATACAAGGAAGGTAGGGGGAAGAATGAGTAGAAGCTCTCTTTCCCAGATCTCAAGTAGGCCAAGGCCAGCCATAGACTTTTTACCTTTGGAGTGAAATGATATTAGGCAGTCACAAGGCGGCCAGTTCTCCACCGGTTCATTCAGAATAACATCTTCCCCCATAATCACCACTGTGATATATTCAAACTTGCACAGACGCTCCAGAATCTGTGTCATGGGCTTTGACTTTGACTTTTTGGTCATGGCACATATTCCAACCACAATCTGTCGTTCAGGTGGCTAAGAGAAGACAGAGATCAGTTTAGTGCAGGGTCAACTACTTTTCTGAATTTAAACTGTAACACTGTAGAAATGCAGCAATGCAGAACAAACAAGGGATTTTCTTCCAATCTTATGGACTCACAGCTCTTGCTGGACTCAACCCATACACACTTCCAGCTCCCACTAGAGTCTACTGGGGGACATCATTAAGGAGCAGCCCAAAACAACCACTTCTTTTCCAGGTAGTATGTACCCTCTCCTTTTACTGGGCACTAATGCTAAGGTCAGAAATAAATATCTGGCACCTGAACAAGCAGCAGGGACTGGAATCCCACATCATGTTCTCTGGCCCATAACTCACCAAGACAGTTGGTAGACTTAGACAGGCTCAGAGAAGAGCCGCAAATGTTTTATAGCAAAAAAGTCCAGAAGCTCAGTCTGTTTGTCTTATCTGAGAGAAAATGAAGGGGAGATTACAACAGTAAGTAGCTATGAAGAGAAATAGTACCAAGTGCTCTTCCATATATCTGACAAAGGTACAACAAGATCCAGTGGGACGAAGTTAAGTTGAATAAGTCAAGAGAGAAGGTATGCATTCAAAAAGCATTGGTAACTGTAACAGAGGAACAGGCTAAGGTCTGTGGTGGACTGTCTGTCACCATCTAGAAACAGCAGACTGGGTATTTTCCTGACAGATTAATTCTGTGAGATCATCTGAAGTGATACACACAGGACTGCGGGTTACCCAGCATAAACAATTGTGGCTTCAAACTGTAAGCTGAGACTTTAGAAGTCACAGCATTGACTTGCAAAGCCAAAGTTCCACAGCAAAAAACCAAAATCTGGGAAGTGAAAGGGTTTGCAAATCCTTCACCATACTTGATAAATAGCTCCTCACTGAGCATCAAAGTACACAACACCGTGTGGGTTTGAAGGAAGCCTGTGTGGGCTTCTAGGTCAACAACCCACTTGCAATGGAGACTCAAGGTACAGAGGCACTCAAAACCACCACTGCACTGGCATATGGTCCCAGCAATATGCACAGCCAGCAGCAATGTCCCTGCAGCATCCAAATCCCACATGCAGAACAGCAAATGTAACACTTAATATAACACTGAATATGGGCCAAAAGCAGTCAGGAGCTGGAGATCATTCTCCTTTCTGCATCCTGTTCCTGGCAGTTACAGAAAATAATAAATGCTTCCTTTCTACAGACACACCTTTTCCCTTTTCACAGTTCCCAGAGTTTTTCTCAAAAATTTCTCTGGTGAAACAGAAAAGTTTACAGGAGTGTCAGGGTTAAGTTGCTAGGACAAAGAAATCCACTACTGTACCTGAAAAAGACCTGCAACCAAAAGGCTAGGATTTACTGCAGCATGAGGCAGCAAGTATGGCAGCATGACAGTGCAATATGTCCTGTCAGAAATGACATTGCCGTTCCCCACAGTTGTGCTACACAGCCTGGTGCTACATCCCCTGAAGTCCTGACTGCCTGTGGCCTCAGCAGCAACCACACAAACCCTGGCTGAGATCCAGGAATTCTGCACAGACACTCCAACCCAGAACGCCAAGACCTCCTTACCGACTCCTCCTCTTCATCATCTTCAAAGAAATCAGTTTCATCTGTCTTCATGTTTGATCCCAGAAAGTCTGTCTCATCATCCCTGGAACCAACAACAAACCTGGGAGTGGAGTTCTCTCCCTCACTGGACGTCGTCAGGGACGACATTGCAGCTTCGGTGGCGAACCATCCCGCTCTGGAATCACAGGGTGCAAAAAGGGATAGAGAAGGTCAGATACAGAGCAAGCCAGGGGCCAGCTGCACTACTGGAAGCAGGTGGTGGTGGGGAGGGCAGGGACTGCTCTGGCATGAGTGAGTCCAGGGACACGCTGCCCAGCACAAAAGAAGGGAGCAGGAAGAAACCCTCGGGGTGGGAGAGGATCCGGGATTCAGGATTGTTTTAGATAGGCAGCCCCATTGTGGAATTAACCCTTTTGCATGAACTGGGAAAGGCACAGTGTCACCACCAGCACTAAAACCATGTAAACCTTACAATGATGCATGCTCCAAGCCGCTGTCTAAATCATGGAAGGGGACAGTCGAGGCTCTCGCAGGCTCGTACACCCAAAGACATCAACGGAGACTCCAGAAGTTAGGATGAAGTTTAGGACAGTGATGGTGACTTTCCAATTGCCAATTTTCATCCTTTCAGCTCAAGAAGACCTACAGTAACAGAGCCCAGTTTGAGAGGCACATGAGTTTGCAGGGAGGAGGGAAAAGGAAGAAGTGACATCTCTTTGGCAGGGAAAGAGGACATAGAAGCATCAGCAACAGTTGGGTTGCAGGTCAGGGCTTCCAGGTTTGCAAGCTGGCTCTGGAAGCTGATTATCAGGATACAAGCTATGCTTTATAAACGCCAGGAAAGGAGTGTGTCTCTTACTGTCTGCCGCAGAAGTGACAGAGTTTGAATACACAGTACGCATGACCTGTACACACCAAGGACACAGCTGTCACCTGTGACCATAGCTGCACATTCATAAATGTCAAGCGGTTGCCCTTTACCGTGTTTTCCCCAACTATAAAGTGATGAAAAGCATTCCTCCCATGTAAATAAGTGCAACCTTGAGAAGAGGACGTTGTGAACACCTCATGTTACTAAGTACTTCCTAAAAATGGACATGAGGCAGTCTTTGCCACTGCTTCTCATGCTCTCACATGATTTCCAGCATTCCCCAGACTGAGAGTTACTGTATTTCCTTCTCTTTTGAGTATGCTGTCCCTTACAGACAGTACACCATGGGAGACTATGCTGCCACATACAGCTGTCAGTTCCCATTCCTCTGGCTGCTCTTCTTCACAGAGCAGAGGAGGCACACCCAAACACCATCGGCCTGCTGCCAGCACGGTTTCACGATAGATGAGCATCCCCCCACCAGGAACAATGGAGGGAGATTGCCTTAATCCATCTGAGTAGGGTGGGAACTGGCAAAAGAAACAAACACACAGAGCAATCCAGCTGCTTGTGAAATCCCCTTTGGAAATAAGGGTAAAAATAAAGCACGCCTCCATGCAGAAAGGCTGCGCACACTCCCAGAGATGACAGGATATGTAATAGCTAAGCACTCAGAGAAAGCACCTGAGCAGAAGCACACTAGATAAGGTCCCGCAGCCATGCTACCAGGCACTGGTTCAACAGCAAGCCCATCAGTTACCATGCTGGATCTACTGGCAGAGCCAACACCAACCAAACGGGAACCAGAGAGATGACACAGGAAGCCTGGACTTTGCACCTACCACACCAAGAACGATCTCTTCTGCCTCACTTCCAGCTCATGTCGGTCTTCCGCTTGTGCACCAAGCCCAGTGCTGCCTGCTCCCATGCAAACCTTGAGGCATAGTGCACACACAGCACAGAAAAGCGTCCCCATCAGCAAGAGTTAAGGTCCTAATTCACCATCGGTGCTCTCTCCTAGTGGGAGCAACAGCGATGGCAGACCAGGCTATACAGGCATTTTACTGTGTGCTCCATATAGCCCTACTATTTCTACATGAGGACGAGAGTCAGATTCCCAACATGCTCAGGAACCATCTTCATTCCTGTGCCCTGCTGCCTCAGCATGCCAGCACAGAACTAGGACTTTAGCAAGTACACTATCAGCTTGATGGCTGATGATTTAATTAAGTAAACCATGCAAGAAGAGGAGGAGGGTTGTTTTCTCCAATCCCTTACTCTCCCCTCCCTCCTGGAAAAAACAGATCAAGCAGCAGGAAAACCTTTGCCCTAAGAACTAAGAAAGCAACAAGTTCTCTACACTCCTGCTCCTATCCTAAAAAAAAGCTTCTGCCTTGCTTTGTAGCTATTTCCAGAGGCCATGACACGTCATACTCAAACCAGGTAAAAACTTAGAGCCTCACTGAAGCTGATGGTTACTGATGCATCAGGCATGCCCTTGGTGTTAACAGGGAAAGCCTTATGATCTCAGGTTGTTTCTGGTGTGGGGAAAGGGAAAGGGTATAAGTAAAACCTTTTTCAAGTTTCTGCTTAAAGTAGATCCCTTAGCTGACTAGATCTATACCAACAGAGACTACACACTCTTGAATGATGAATGATGAAACAGAACTTTTAGCTACAGGCATAGCTAAGTCATCTAAAACTCAGACAGACTGTTGCTCTTAAAGGGAAACAGGCAAATGGAGCTCTAGTCTGGTATCAAAGGCTAATAATATAAGGTTTTGCCAACACGCCTGAATCAGTTCTAGTGCTGGGCTATCAAAGAGTTTATGTGCCAGGAAGGTGGCAACTCTCTTACAGAAAGGGTACCAGCAAGGTTCCTGTACAGCACTCAGCCCACACCACCGCCTCACTATTACTTCTTTTCTTCAAACCTAGAGCTACGAGAGGTGCTGACAGTACACGATGCTGATGGTTCTGCATCATTCTCATTGCTTCCAGAGCTAACTTTTCCTAGAGGTCATATATTCAGACCAGTCCCCAGTTGCTGAGTGCTACAGATCTTACCTCTCACGAATCTCAGCACGAAAATTAAGTGTTAATGCTGCTGGCTGTATTGTCCAAGAGAGACAAAAGCATTAACACAGCTCTGGCACACACACAAAAAAGGTGAAGATGGTTCTGGCTTTGAGTACAGAATATTCAGGCTTGCTAGTCCCATCACAGATACATGAGGAAGTATACTCCAACAGCTACAGTTAAAGACATTCTTGCACTCTCTTCCAAGAAGGGCAGCTATAATCTGCTACACAATTATACCAAATGTTACCATAATCACCTAACGGCAATCAGAAGCTGCTGACACACAACCTGAAACTGAGACATAGACCTTGCTCTAAGTGTCCTGGGACTAATTCAGCTCCCTAGACTGCCCGGTATTAGTGATAAGAAATGAGAAAGTAAATTGTTTTCCAGTTCCCCAGCAGATCATTCTGGCACTGTTCAAATAAGGATGTTCACAGAGTAAAGAGACTTATTCTTTGTGCCCCACTTCTGAGGTACCAGAAATTGTTAACTTGGTACTCAGTACAGCATTAACCGCTAAACGAGTGGTTTGGGTGTTGGTTTTTTGTTTCACTTTGTTTTTTAAACAAAGCCCGTTAGAGGTACAGATGCATGATCTGAAAGCACAATCCCTACAGCAGAGGGCTGAAGGACAAGGGCTGCAGCACCCAAGCAAGGCTAACCACATCGTTGGTGGCAGCAGCCACAGCTGGTAGAAGAGGCAGCTCTAGGAGCAGACAGCAGGCCTGCACACCCCAGGGGGCCTGTGGGAAGCATTAGGCGGGAGGTCTGAGGAATACAGGGTACCACTGCATGCAGACAGGCTGCAAGGATGACTTATCTTATAGACCCACAGCCTGATTTAAGCCAAGTCAGGTAACTTGCAGGATTGTAACCTTTAAGAATACACATAGCTGGCATTTTAAAATACTAATGCTGGCAATGTCTTGTTGAACCACCTGAAACTGCTGTGGGCACTAAAAACAAACAACCCAAACAAACAAATTAAAAACAACCCTGAAAATGTAGGTCTTCATCAGTGAAGTACCTTTGCCCAAAGAATTACCCCCACTGTCACAAAGGACTACCTGTATTAAGGTTAATTACATACTTACATACAAAAGGTGAAAGCTGTACTCTTGTCATAGACACTTAATGGCTTCAGAAGAAGAAGAACACCTATTCCAGAGTTAATAATTAAAAGCTATTTGGACTTGGTGTATCAAAGAAAGCTCTCCATGTTCTATTAGCATAGAAGTTCAGTGTGTTCACAAGCAGGAAGCTAAAGTCAAGCTTCTAAACATACAGTTCTGCCTGTTCAAGCAGCACTTTTGGCAACTACAAGTCTATCAGCATGTTCAAACCTAGACAGAGTATAGCAACGGTGGAAACATTTCATGTTTCCTGACCAGGAGCTCCTTCTGCTAGACAACGCCATTTGCAAATTTAGTAAAAACCTCTTGGCTTATCACTTTGACATCTGAACAAGCACTATGTTGCTCACATAGCAACTGTAGCAGTAAGATCAATCCTTGCCTTAGGAGACTGAAGATTTTTTTCCATGAGATTTATGAGATTGTTAAGTGTGAAACTTCACAGCATCAGAATTTCTCCGAGACTGTAACTGTTAATAGAGGTTTATTAACAAATAACGAACCACGGCCGCTCTACCCTTCCCGCACACCCTGGGGGCGATGCAGACACAATCCCCAACCCGTCCGGCTCGGGCGCCTTCCCGAAGGCTTCCAGGCGGGAGGCCGGGGGCAGCGGCGCGGCGGGACAGCGGCCCCGGGGGAGCAGGGAGGCAGCTCCTCCTCCGG